TCTCCCATCCCTTTCCCAAAAACACACCCCCATCCACCTCCCCCCTTTCCTCTCCAAACTCGCATCTCATCACCTCCCAAGTACACCCCACATCTCCCCCTCCCCAGCCTTTTCCCTGCCTCTACTCCACTCAGCCCCGACCCACCCACCGCCCGCTCTCCCCTCCTCCCATCCACCAGCCCACGTCGCACAAAGTCTTTCTCCCACGGCCCCAACACACCACCCAGTCCCCCTCTCCAGACTCCTGCTCTGACCCCTACTTCTTCCAGGGCCACCATAGACACGAGCCGCGCACCCATCATCACGGCCATCATGCCCGCGGGTCACGCAAATCTGTTATATACGATAACCAGGACGATGCACCGCCTGTCGTCGCTCTTACCCCAGGCCCATCGAGGCCCCTCACCGGCCTCTACCAGCTATCCAGCGAGCGCGAGGTGGGTGATGCCCCCTCTCGCGCGCACGACCACCAGGGATTAGGCGCAGACGAGCACGGGGGAGACCATGGCTATGGTCACGACCATTCACGCCACCTCAGAGTGGGCAAGAAGAGACAAATCGTCGGCATTCTCGTTAGCTTTTTCCTTTCCTTACACCTTTCCCGATGTTGACTGCTAGCCCTTATAGGTCCTTCAAACGGGCATCATGATCCACTCTATCGTCATCGGCCTCACTCTCGCCGTCACCACGGGCTCAGAGTTTAGTGAGCTGCTTTCCCCTCAACTTGTGGCTACCAGCTAACAAATCAAACACGCCACAGCCTCTCTCCTAACAGCCATCATCTTCCACCAGCTCTTCGAAGGCCTCTCCCTCGGCATCCGCATCGCCTCTCTCCCCTCCCAGTCGGACTCGCCTGACGAAGAGCAAGGCGGGGCAGAGGGGGGGAAGAAGAAGGGCAGCGGCATGTGGATGTCGTTTTTGAAGCCGACGTTGGCGTTTTTGTTCGCTGTGACGAATCCAGTCGGGATCGTGATTGGGATCGTGGGTTTGCGCCATGGTGGCGATGAAGGCGAGTCTCCCTTCATTTGCTCATTCACCAACCAACTAACCAGCTACCTACAAACGACGCACTCACGCCCCTTCCCTCCTCCCCCTCCACACCTCAAACAGCCCACACAAAACTCATCCAAGGCCTCATGTCCGCCATCTCCTCTGGCATGCTCATCTACGCCGCCTGCGTCGAGATGCTGGCCGGCGACTTTGTCATGGACCAGCTGTTGTGGCGGAGTGGCGTGTGGAAGCAGGCGTTGGCGGTGGTGAGCCTTTTGGTGGGGGTGGCGGGGATGTCGATGGTTGGGTAGCTGGGTGGGGAGTAGGCTTGGACACTTGTATAATGCTGGCCTTTGTGGATGGATCTGTTCTGTTCTTGGTTTTGGGTGGTAAATAAACTTGAAGAAGAAATTGATTTCTGCATTTTGTATTTTTGCGTGACCCTGTGAGCAACCTACCTATATGATTTCCTGGATGCATGGGAATTCAAGGTATCGATGATGATGTCGTTGTCAGATGAGGGTTTGTTGGTCAGTGGGAGTTGCATGCGCTGCGAGGAATGTTGGGACTATCAAGTTGGGACTGAGCGCTGAGCGATATATCTTGAAGCTTGAACACGCTTATAGCTCACACGAGTGTTTTTCCCAATCATCATCAAGTGCATTTTACATTTATGTCACAAATGGAAAGATACAAGTAGATGAGGCGCGGAACGTTCGAGTCCGAGTCCGAGTCAAGGTACAGTAAGTGACAACCAAGTCATCAAATAAAAATCAAAAAATCAAAAATGGGGCGCAGAGCACAAGTAGAATCCGACTCTGATATTAGCGGTGGGTGTGCGGTGAAAGGCAAGGGAAGAAAGGTATCGTATGTCACGAAGTTGAAAGCCGAGCTGTGAGGAGATTCCGTGCGCGGAAACGAGGCAAAAAGGAGGAGGGAAGAGATGAAATGAAATGAAAAGCGGCGGTAGCGCTGGGGAGGTCTAGCCCGCCCAGACGCACCCGGGCTTTTTTGGGATATAGTGTACAGGGTGCGAGTCTATCAATCCACTCAAAGTCCAGTCATTACACAATCAATAAGCAGACCAAAGAAAACGACCAAAGAACCGATCAAAAGAC